ATTTATATAAAAATAATTTAATTTTAAACTTCTTAATTTTCAAGGTAACTTATAGTCATAGAATAATTATTTATAACTTATTTTGGACCATAAATTTTAATTTTTTTTCTTTTTAAACTATGGAGTATGTACCTATTAGAGTGCATCACATTGATAGGATGGAAAGTACAATACAGAAGATATACAATCACCCTTAAAACTTGTCTCCATTTGTTAGCTATAAACTTAAATTTTACGACCTTATTACTATTATCCTATAATATGACATAGTAACTTATTAATAAATTTTATCATTTTACATAAAGAAAATTTAATTTGAAACTTAAAATGACATATATTATCATATTCTATAGAAAAATAATTATATAAATTTTGAATCCTTATTTTAAACGTGAAAGGTTTTTGTTATAACTTATAAATACTTTCTTTTTATTGAGAGTATTGCATGACAGTGACTTGTAGCTGTATTTATGTATATAGCTATATGCATAGTTGAGGGTACTTTTGTAATTAGCTAACATAGTTGGTGAAGTATTCTTTCCATATGTGTATATGTATAACACAATATAGAAATACATATCAGATTTCTCTTTACCAAATTTATTCTCTCTCCGGAAGCTTCCACTGGTCTCTTTTCTTCTCTTTCGTATGTTCCTTGTAAGCTCAATCGCTACATCAATGGCAGCTTCTGCTTGCATCTAAATTCTTAATTTTGACATGGTATCAGAGCTAAGGCTCAGTGTTAACTCAATTCTCGTTCAGGCTCATCTCTTTCATCACTAATCTCTGTTTGTTTTGAAGTTGCAAGTCAAAATTAGGAAACCCTAATTTTCACCCAAAGTTTTTCAGATTTGTCGATTAACTCATCTTATATCATAGCGGTAGATGGCGATACTTCGGATTCAACTAATTCACCAAATGTAAACAAAGATACATTGGATTCGACCAATCCTTTGTACATGCATCCTTCAGAGAGTGTCGGATCGACACTAGTGCCAGTGGTATTTGACGGAACTGGTTATAGATCCTGGAGAAGAGGCGTCCTCAGAGCCCTTTCAGTGAAGAATAAGGTCGGTTTCATCACCGAAAAATGTAAGAAGCCAGATTCTGCCCATCCGATATTTGAGTAGTGGGAAAAATGCGACGACATGGTGACATCGTGGATTCTCAACTCACTTTCAAAGGATTTGGCAGATAGCTTACAGTATGTGGTCGATGCAAAAGAATTGTGGCAGGAACTGGAGGATAGGTACGATCAGACGAATGGAGCGAAATTGTACCAGCTTGAAAGGAAAATTAACGACCTAAGTCAGGGAACCCTAGACATTACAGGATATTATACAAAAATGAAGAAGCTTTGGGAAGAGTTAAACACATTAAATGCACATGCACAATGTAAGTGCCAGTGTACTTGTGATGCCAAGGCAAATATGCACAAGGCTGAACAAGACATAAGGCTAATTAGGCTTCTAATGGGTTTAAACGAGGTCTACACAGTTGTGAGAGGAAGCATTTTGATGATGAATCTGTTGCCCAGTGTTGCACAAGCCTTTTCTATCCTAATCCAGGAAGAAAAACAAAGGGAAGTTAGGCCAAGCAACCATCTGATGATGGAGACTGCTTCAATGAATGTCAGTGGTCTTGCAAGTCCAGCTTTTAGGACAAATTATGCTCAACAGAGGAACACTATAGGAAACAACTCATACAGAGGCAGTTATCCATCCAATAGGTCACGCCTGTTTTGCGACAACTGCAAGAAGCAAGGACACACTAAAGATAAATGCTACAAACTACACGAATTTTCCCAGGACTTCAAATTCACTAAAGGAAAAAGTGTGGCATCTGCTGCAAGTGTGCATGGAGGACCTAGAGGGATAGTTCCTGGAGGATGCAGTGAAGTTGGTGCTGGAAATCAAAGCATGGGGATTCAAAACCTGACAAAGGAGCAATATAATCAGTTACTGCATCTGTTGGAGAACTTCCATGGTGGAAATGCAGTTGAAGTCTCAAATAACATCACTAGTGGGGCAGCAAACTTTGCAGGTATATTGGCTTGCTCTACTCGTAAAGAAATTATTGGTAATCTTTCATGTAAATGCTTCAAATCATCTGCTGAATATTGGATTTTAGATTCTGGAGCTTCTAATCATATGTCCTATAACAAAGCCCTATTAACCAACATTAGAATTCTACCGTATCCTTTCCCAGTAACCTTACCAAATGGATACAAAGTTAGAGTGACAGAAATTGGTGATGCAGTCCTTAGCCCTAAGCTGACTTCACACAAAGTGTTGTTTGTTCCTAGTTTTAAGTTCAATTTGATCTCAGTTCATTGTTTAACATCATACCTTCAGTCAGTTGTCCAATTTTCTGATATTTCATGCATTTTACAGGCCCCTTTAATGAAGAGGCCTCTGGAGATTGGTAGAGCAAGGAATGGTCTGTACTTCCTCTGCTCAAAATGCCAGTTCCTTGGTTCAGCTACTGTCCCCACTTATCTCATTTCAAATTCATGTTCTGCTTCTACTAGCAATTCAAAAAACAATGCACAACCACATAAATCACTCACTATAAATAATGACAACTTAGAAACTTGTCCTGTTAATTGTCTTTCATCATCATCTGTAAATGTTCCACTTTCAAGCAATAAGAAAGGTTCTTGTACATCTTCTTGTTCTACTAATATGTGTGCATCCTTTTCTAATTCTTCATCTTATGGAAATTGTGTTGACTATTTGTGGCACAACAGATTGGGTCATGTACCTTTTGTGAAAATGAGGGGAATATCATCCATACCTGTAAATTTTGCACCCAAACAACCATTCTTATGTTCAATTTGCCCTATGGCCAGACAAACAAGACTACCATTTTCACAGAAAAATACATCATCTACCAATGTTTTTGAACTATTACACATAGACCTCTGGGGGGGCATACCACACAATCACACATGACAATTATAAATATTTTTTTACCATAGTTGATGACTTTAGTAGGTCAACCTGGACATATCTTATAAGTTGTAAAAGTAATACACTTAAGTTCTAAGAACCTTTGTGTGTATGATAGAAAACCAGTTTAATTCTTCCATTAAGTCCATGAGGTCTGACAATGGACTGGAGTTTGTCAACAATGAAACTTCATCATTTTTTCATTCCAAAGGAATTATACATCAGAAAACCTGTCCATACACACCTCAACAAAATGATGTGGTGGAAAGAAAACACAGATATTTGTTGGAAAATGCAAGAGCCTTACTGTATCAGTCCAAGTTACCTATCAAATATTAGGGAGAATGCATCGGCACAACCACATACTTGATTAACAGACTACCCTCTACAATCCTGAATAACAAATCACCTTTTGAAATGTTTTACAAGAAGAAACCCAATTATTCACACCTTAAAAGTTTTGGATGCCTATGTTATCCTACCACTCTTAAAACTCATAAAGACAAATTTGAACCCAGAACTGAGCCTCATGTTTTTGTAGGTTACCCCTTTGGCACAAAAGGTTACAAGGTACTAAACTTAGCCACTAAAAGAATACACATTTCTAGAGATGTATAATTCCACGAACATGTTTTCCCTTTTCTAGTGTCTTTTGATCACACTTCTCTTCCTTGTGTTTTGCCATCTTTTCATTCTGATCTTGCGTGCGAAGGTCATAGAAATGATGCCTTGAGTAATAGTCAGTCACCAACTGGGACTTCACCAAATTTTGTCACCAACACTTCTTTACCAGGTGATCAAGATATTTCCTCACTAGTTGATCAAAGCAACCATTCACCTATTGATGCAGGTGTTTATGAAAATTCACCTATCCTTTCAAATACTTCAGACCAACATACCACTGACACTTCCTCATTCCCAAGTCCTACACGACCATCCAGAACAGTCAAAACACCAAGCTACCTAAGTGAATATGTGTATTCCCTTCCAAATCCAAAGAACAATACATCACACACTGTCTTGCTCAATTTTCCCCTTTCAGATCATCAACATATTTGTTTTACTGCTCTAAACAAGGATAGTCAGCATATGATGAGAAACATTACTCATGAATCTAAGCCATGTTCTTATGAGGAAGCAGCCTTAAACCCTGCATGGCAAGCAGCCATGACACAAGAATTTGAGGCTTTGTATGCTAACCACAAATAGGATTTAGTGACATTGCCTGAAAGTAGGAAAGCCATAGGATGCATATGGTTGTATAAAATCAAACACAAAGTAAATGGGATTGTTGAGAGATTCAAGGCAAGACTTGTGGTAAAAGGATACACACAACAAGCAGGAATAGACTATACTGAAATATTCTCTCCAGTTATCAAGATGACAACTGTTAGGACCCTGATTAGCATAGCAGTTAAAAGGGGCTGGAACCTATTCCAACTAGATGTGGACAACGCATTCTTACATGGAGATCTACATGAAGAGGTGTATATGGAGGTACCACAGGGACTGCAGATTGAGGTTCCTGGTCTAGTTTGCAAGTTAAACAAGTCCTTGTATAGACTGAAACAAGCAAGTAGACAGTGGTATGCTAAGCTGACTGAAGCATTATGCACCAGGGGTTTTAGACATTCAGAAAATGATTACTCATTGTTCTGTAAAAAGGATGGCTTTTCAATTGTATTTGTGGCTATCTATGTTGATGATGTGATTCTTACAGGTACAGATGTAGAAGAAATTAAGGCACTAAAGATTTTCCTCCATGATCAGTTCAAAATCAAGGATTTAGGGAAGTTGCACTATTTCCTGGGACTGTAAGTGTTCTACAAAGATAATGGGGTCCTCATTTCACAGAGGAAGCTCACTGCAGATCTGTTGAGAGAGTATGACAATCAGTATACTATAGTCTCTTCTCCTCTTGACTGTACTGTCAAGTTGAAGGAATAAGAGGGAACCTGCTGGCGGATCCTACTCACTATAGAAAGTTAGTTGGGAAACTTAACTTCCTCACCAATACAATGTTAGACATTGCCTATAGGATTCAGCACTTAAGTCAATTCATGCAAACACCTAAAGAACCTCATCTTAAAGCTGCCCTCCATGTCTTAAGGTGTCTTAAGAATGATCCAACCTTGGGCATTTTCTTTTCCAATAACCCAGATTGCACTATGAAGGCTTTCTGTGACTCAGACTGGGCTGCATGCCCTAATTCTCGACGATCAGTGAGTGGACACATTTTCTTATTAGGTGATAGTCCTATTAGTTGGAAATCCAAGAAGCAGGAAACAGTTTCCCTCCCCTCTGCAGAGGTAGAATACATATCATATTTCTCTTTACCAAATTTATTCTCTCTCCAGAAGCTTCCACTGGTCTCTCTTCTTCTTCTCTCTCGTCTGTTCCTTGTAAGCTCAATCGCTACATCAATGGCAGCTTCTGCTTGCATCTAAACTCTTAATTTTGACACTTTTGATTTGAAGATCAATATTGCAGATATTATTATTAATAAATAATTAGTAATAAGTCTGAGATAATTAACTAAACCTGTACGAAATTGTATTTTTTGAAAGATGAAAGACGACAAGTGAAAGAAAAATAAAGAAAAAATAATCAAATTTATCTATGAACTTTCTGAAATAATCTAAATATATCCTCCATTAATAAATAGTTACGTGGTAACACGTGGCAGCCTTAGGTACTAATCAAATATTTTATATGTTACTTAGATCCGACTATTGCTCTACGTGCTTGTCACGCCCCAAGCTGGGGTGTGACGTGATTGGCACTCAACCCTTACCACTCGTTGAGTGAACCTTGTACTATTTGTATCAAACTTCAAGTTCAATAGCAAAGAAATTAACGTGCTTAAATATTAATTCTAATCAAATTGCAGTTCTTAAGCTGACTGATAAAATATAATAAATAAATAATAAATTCCAAAATATTTTAATACTGACCCACTAACAAGTCATGAGTCTCTAGAATTAAAAAAAATTAAAATACATAGCCTACGAGGCACCCCCCGGAAACAAAATAAACATAATTATTTTTATAAATAATAGTCTTAAAAAGGTCCGCTACCACTGGGATGAATCAACAGAGTTTGTAAACTGAATCTAGAATATCTCCTCTAGCCACGTCCCTCGTTACCTGCATCCTCAATAACTGACACACGACGTAGCAGGCTCAAACGGGCTAAGTACCACCAAAGGATACCCAGTAAGTCTCGTAGGCTACCTCCTAAAAAGGCAGAGCGAGACCTTCTGGGAAAAATAAGAAAGAAAACGCATATATGAAAAAATTATATAAATTTTACAACCTAAGTCATAAGCTGGAAACTGAAACTATACGCTAAACTGTAAGCTGAAACTGAAACTTAACGTAGAAATTGAGTCCATAACCGATATATGAAATAGAAACTGAGTTTTATATATATATATATATATATATATATATATATATAAGACATAACTTTGCTAAAAATTGTTACGCATAATGGCCCTGCGTACGTGAGCATCTCGGAACACGTACGGGGGAGTGTCGGCCTATCTCCCCAATAAATAGTTGGTACCTGCGAGCATGGGGTAGGTAACCCTGACACCATGGCACTCACGCTGGGGGAGGTTGGCCACTTCTCCCTACTGAATGTGATCACATTGATGTATGAATTAATGTTGAAACTGAATACTTAACTGAATGTGAATATCACAAATAAAGGTATATAACAATTGGTAATACACATAAGCATATATTCATGTCACATATAATATCGTATTGAGTAAGAATAAGTGAACTGAGTATTGGATCACGAGAATACATGACTTAGCTTTAATTTACATATGAAGCACAAGGGTTCTAATAGAATTCCCTACTAGGAAAGTAAACCTCAACTCACCTCAAGTCTTAGCTCTAATTCATCCTTTCAAACTTCTCGGGAGTTCAACAACTCACGATCTATAAATATTTGAGCTAGAATCATCAAGACATACTCAACAAGTTAAAATCACCACCAATTGAACTAATTTCTAAGTCATGAATTACTCAATATAATCAGTGCATAATGTGAAAAAAAAATATTTGTATTTTTCTGTCAAGCTTACTGCTACAATATCCTTGACCACTTGGTATATGGAGAGGAAAAAACATATGTTAATATCAAAAATATTACATGTCCATACTTAAATAATATCCAAAACCTATGACCATAATAATAATCCAAATACTCTAGTAACGTTCAAATCTGATTCTCACTATACCCTTAAAGCTTTGTCCATTACTAGATGAAAATAATTTCTCCATTATTTAATATTTCTAATCGTGTTCTCAATCTCAAAAACTTGGCAGCAACTCAAATGGGTTTAGAATTTATCAAATTACTTTCAATTTACTTCTTGTCATCATTCTAAAGAATTTGATATCCACATCAATCCTAATGTAATCCAAGGCACGCTATAAGGATAAGATTATATATTTACATACCTGATTGTTTGTTGAATTGCACATGGAAAATTTCTAAGTTTTCTGGTTCTCTGCTCACGCCAATTATGTATCCTCAAACTCCTCAAACTCCTCAAATAATAATGACCCAAGTAACATATCAAACAATTGTTCTTCTTTGTTAATCCTTACCGTTTAATTTGATTCCAAAGCTAATAAGGTTTAATTTTTTTTCCTTAAGCTATTTTAAGGCTCTTCAAAGTAAGGAATACTAAGAAGTGAGGCTGACCCACTTATTTTCTCATTTAATCTAAAGTTTGTTTTTTCCCCGTTAAGCCATTCTATGGCTCTGTAAAGTAAGGAACACTAAGAAGTGTGGTTGACCCACTTATTTCCTTCTTTAATCAAAAGTTTGACCCAATATATATTCTTAATCAAGTAAATGATATTTACAAGGCTATTGATGGCCTCATATACTGTTAGCTACGTTTTTTGGCCTCCAAGTCAAATAAAAGTTTGGTTATTCCCGTCCATAAACTCTATTTTTAGGTTAAATTAGTCTGAAAAAAGAATAACGGGGTGTTACAGTGCTAGTACTTTTGTAACTTAAAGGCACACTTGACTCAACTATTAATGGAGGTATATTTTAGACAATTTCCCATTTGTTCATAGGCAAATTTCCTTCTCCCTAGTTAAGGTAAAGTAGAGTTATATCTCCTATTTTCATCTTGACTTTTGATAATTGTAGTAATTTTATTTTAAGCGTCACGCCGTCATTGTCCACGTGAAAACGTCCTCTATCAGGCAGGCGGCAGCAACAACAGCGACACGTATTCTCTCTTGTACTCTTCTTCCTTTGGTACTCAATTGAAACTCTAAAGTCCGTCAATTTGTTTCGTCAAGCATTATAGCAGCTACAGATACAAAAAAGAGCCTACACAAATGTCGCAGAATCAATCCTTGGAAGAGAATTCTGGGTTCATGTCCATCGACAAGTTGGATCGAATGGCTAATTGGGTCGGGACAAGCGTGGCGTCGGCGTTCTTCGCCTCCCTTGAACGCTGCTCCTGCATCCACCTTAGCACCGCTCACGACGACGGCGATGAATATGATGATGAGGATGAGGCCAAGGATCGCCCTCTTATGTTCAACAAACCCATCTCTCACGATCACTCTTCTTCCATCACCATTAAGCTTCCTTCTTCTTGATTTACTTAATTTTTTTGCTACTTATGCAAAGATGAAAAAAGAATACTCCTTTTTTTCTGTGCTTTTTTTGCTTGTAAATAATTGTGCGGCCGTGTGGTAATGTCTGGCATGGTTTTGTAAATTATGACAAATTTGAATACGTAAAGTTTGTTTTTTAAGGTTACGAGCTTGTTGTTTCTTTAACTCTTTGTGTTCTCTAGTTGGACCTCTTAGTAGGGTTCAAACTCAGATGAAGATCTCACCATCTGTCAAAGAAAACAGAATTAAAGTATCTTCATGCTCTAATTCATGTTATGGCAATAGAATCACCAATTAACTTGAGTTTAATTGTGGTGGAACCAAAAAGAGCTGAATTGTGGAAATAGTAGCTGATTCATCGTGGTTTGTTATGTTACTATTACCAGATAATACATGTATTTTGGTCAAATGACAATCAATTTGATTTCACAGTTCTACAAGTCCTCTGTCATAGTGTTCTTCTTGTGGTTTTTCGGACTGTTTATACCTAGATATATTGCAGTCTGTAACATTAAAATGATATTGACTATGGGGCTTCAGTGATGTTG